GAGGGAGAGAGAGAATCCCAAGCAGACTCCCCTCTGAGCATGGAGCCCACACAGGGCTCAATCTCACAACCCTGAGACCATGACCTGAGCCGAAACCAAGAGTCAGACACCTAACTGACTGAGCCATCCGGGCACCCTGAGAAAAATTTATTTTCATGACACATGTAGGCAACAGATACTACCTTTATCTTTAGTTAAGGAAACTACAGCTCAGAGAAACTTGAAAGACAGATCACTCAACCAGAATCACTTAGTTAGTGGCAAGAAAAGCTGGAAGCTGAAACACTAACTTTAGACACCAGGTAGAATATTCTTTCCATCATAACTAAAGGCTGGTCCCCTGCCCCAACATTCCTCTAACCTTAAGGTCACAGTCTAAGTCAAATTAATGATGTTTACTTTATATTCTTTGGGACTCAATATATCTTCCAAAGGACATCTTGTGAGTCAGGTTTTTCTCCTTCTGTGCCTCAGTTTCCCATAATTAAGTTACCGACCTCTATTGCCAGGCCAGACCTTTCTATGATTGTTATTATTTGTACATCTCCAGTTTCTTGTTGCTCTCTACCAAGGTTATTATTTTTTTCTCCTATACTAAGATAGGGTGGTTGTAGATACATTTCTTATCTGCAAAATTAAAAAAGGACAAGGCAGAGAAACATAAAGGAAATAACATGGCTTGCAACTGGGATGGGTTTGAATCCCTTCTCTAATTCTCAACAGCTGTCTTAAAGCATAATTTATTTAGATTCCAACTGTCGAGCTCTGGAGAGCTCTCTGCTTTCCTTTCTCACCACCTCTCATCCACTAGGGGCTGCTGTTATATCTCATCCATGATAACTCTTGGAAACACAGGCCATTCAAACCATGTATTCTGAGTAAAAGAAGCCCTGAAGACAGTTAATTACACTGTACTTAAGATAACAAGATATTCAATATGTCTCTTTTTCATACCAAAATGCAAGTTCTTGTGGTTCCCTTTATTTCCATCTCTGTACTGCAATGTGCTTTCCCTTGACATAGATTTCTTCTACTGCATTTTATCCCAGAGTCCCCTTTGCCCATTAGAGCCCTAAGGAATCCAATGGTAAAAACAAAACAAAACAAAACAAAACAAAAACTCCGTGACATCCTTACAATCATAACTGAGCACACTGTCCACTCTTGGCACCAAGTCAAACCTGGCTGACCCAAAGGATTTGGTTTCCCCTATAGACAGTGAGTGGAAATAGTAAGATGAGGGAACAATATAATAGACAGGACGTTCGCCAAAGAGCAGATTTGGGGGAGGGGAGCTGGGAAGTTGTTAATATGCTTGTTCTTAATCTGAAAAAAAAATTGATAATGGTCAAAAAGCTGCATGGGGCCAAGAGGGGAATGCTAAGTATACCTGTTTCTCGGCTCACCTCTTGGTGCTGAGATATGTGGCATATGGCGGAATGAGAACCAAACACTTCAATTAAATGGAAATATAAATAACAGAGGAAAAACGAAAAACAATGAAAAAGAAAATATAAATAAAATATAAATTTTTTTTAAAAAACTGCAATATTCAACATTCTGTTTCACTGCTAAGTCCTTCTCAACTCTAACTCTGTAGCAAATTTCAACACAAGCAGTGAGCACAGTGTCAGGAAGCAAATAAATGAAAAAGAAATAAACAACCTAATGCAATTGTTGTCCCAAATTTGGAAAGGTCTGTGCAAACTGCACTTATGTGGTGATAATCATCTTCTTTTGGTGAGTTCTCAGCATATGGTAACACCCTAAACCAATCTTCTGGTGAGCCATCCAGAGTCCTACAGAGTTTACACATGTTTAGTGAATGAACTCTTAACCTCCTGGCACTTAGCATTGGGTCCCACTCATATCCAACATCATTAGACCTGAAAATATCAAAACTACATAAACCCTACCTATCAAAGAAGCAAATAATGAAGGCAAAATGTCAGATAAAAGGGCTGTGAGTTATTATAAATTAGATGATAGGTTTATAAGAGTCCCTAATCCTGGAGAATAATGGAAGATAGATAAATATTTGTCAAGAAAGGCATAATTCTAGTCTTCCATTCCTTAAGTAGGGTTTTATCTCAAATCTGATTAAATATCCTTCACAAAAATTTCCATTACAAATCCAGATGATTTGTTTAAAATACCTACATAAGACCTGGCATATAGAAAGCACCCAACGCTCATTATCTATCATAATGGTGTTGGTACCAATAATAGGATATTTACTTTCAGTTAGTTAGAAAAATTGTTATCAAAAGCAATATGATTTGAATAGCTATGGGGAACAACATAAAAATCCAAGAGCTGTTTTAAGAAGGTAAGCTGCAGGTTAGGCTGAGTAAAAATGAGGTTTGGGCTTTAATCTTTCCATGAGCTCTACATTGGAGAATGATTCATGGGGAACCCAGCATTCTTTAAAGGCCACTATAAGAGTGAACAGTTCGTATAATATACTATAATTGTATAATATACCATAAAGTGTATATATGAAAGTTAATCATTTCTCCAAAGATCTGTACATTTAGGTTACTTAAGTTATAATAAACAATTTTGTGCAATATTGTTTAATTGGTTGATTTAATAAATAATTTATGTTAAACATTGTACAAAAGTCCTTTGTATATATGAAGACTAATAAGAAACAAAAATTTATTTCAGAGAGTTTGCTGTCTTCTGTTGCTGTAAAGCCTGTTCCATATTTAGGATGATTTCCTTAGGATGGATTTCTAAATGTGCAAAAAATAAGTATGAATGTAGTAAATGCTGTTGATCCCTTAAAAAGGTCTACCAATTCACAATTGTTTCAGAAATATGTGATAGAAATCTATTTTTTGGCCATCATTTAATCCAGACTCTTAATTCAATTAACATTTAATGAACATTTAGCCTATACTATATGTCAGGTCTTGTATAATAAAATAAGAATCTAAAAATTAATAAAACACCATCTTTGTCTAATCTAGTGGGGAAATGTTACATGGAAACTATTACTTAGTGCCACAGTGGAGCTATTTAGTGCCACGGGAACAAGAACAGAAGATGATGAATTCTGTCTGAAAGGGGAGATAGAATGTGTGAAGACCAAATAGTGAAAGTTTATGGCTTTAAGAAAGTTTATTTCTTTAAGAGAACTGGGAGTTGTCTGTTTTGGCCAGAGTTCTGGAGGAGGGAAGAGCAAGAAGATGACAATGAAAGTAAAAGGTGTGTGGGGCCAGATCAGGGGCGGAGCATATAAATACACTAGGGTAGTTGGACTTATATAGAATTTTAAGAAAGTGGGCTGATATAATCAGGTGTGTACTTTGTAGATAATGCTACTTTTGGTGTTGAGGATGGATTAGAAAGGTAGGAGATAGCAGAAGCCAAGTATAAGGGCCAAATATAAGGCATGAGGATTGGTGCTCACTAGAAATTATAGGAGAATTTGGACCCACTGAGCCTGAGATAATTTCTGACATAAATCACTGGACTTGGGGAACAGGTGAATGTCCTGCCTAGAGAAGGAGCCAGTCACTCTCTCTTTTACTTGGAATCCCAAGTGGATATAGGTATGCCAATAATCTTGTTAGGAAAATTACAACAGCAAAAATAGTTTTCACCAGAGGGAAATAAGGAATGATGGGTTCAGTTTTGGACCTGCTGGCTTTGAGAAGCTAGCAGATGTTACATAAGGAGAATTTAAAAGAAAATAATGGTTCTGGAAGATATGAGAGGAAGGATGGAACTTGAGATACACATTTTCAAGCCATTGATGTAGAGGTGATAGTTGAAGTTGCTAGAATAAATGGGACCATTTGGTGAAAGCATGTAGTGTTAGAAAAGAAGACTAAAGTCCGAATCTTGAAAACTTCTCATCCTTAAGGGGCTGAATGGAAGAAAAGGAGGCTATATGCTTTTATGTAGTTTGTGGGGAAAATCCTACCATAGTCTCAGAGTTGTCCACATCTCCTCATAGGATGGAAACTTCCAACATTGCTCTGAGACAGATTTCAGTAATAGTTGTATAAAACAAATTTAGAATTTTTTTTTAGTGTAACAAAACCTGAATTCTGGATGTAATGGGGAAATTCCTATGATTGACACCATTTGGGAGGTCTCCTTGTTAAGGATAAGAGGTACACTAAGTCACCTGGTCGAGTGGATAGAAACAATTCTTCCAGGAGCACCTGTCATTGATAAAACTCTAAGGCCCTGTGCCAGGGCAGTCTCTGATAGGACCTGCCTAGACCCCCAGGCCATAAGACAGGATGCTTGTCAGGAAGGATTTGGAGGAAGCTCAGCTCTAGGGTGTTTAGCTTTGCTGTGTGATGAATACTCTCACTGAATCTGTCTCCCTTTCAGACTAGTTGGAGGCATCCTAAAGACTGGTGGCTATGGACAGTGCCTTGCCAGCCTTCTCTACCATATTCCCAAATTTTCTTCATGAGCCTATCTTGATACTGACTCCTTGGGATGGCATCACTCCTTTCACTTACTAAGCAGAGGAATGGTAGGAGAGGGTGATACAGATTATAACTAGCTTAAATAAAACTCCATGTCTGTGTATTATACCTTCGTTACTCTTCAGCTTATTCAGGAGCTGAACTTCTCCCCACCTGAAAAGCCAGACAGCACTTAGAGACTGAAGAGTCAACCTGGAAAGAGCAGAAAATACCACAGAATCCAAGGACTACCATATCCAAAAATGCCTTTGATTTCAGTTGTGAGGTAAAGGTAAGCAATGGCATCAGAATAGTTGATAAGTAGACTTCATATGGCTACAAATTCTTCACTACTTCTTTCATTAAGACAGAGAGTCAAATTCCCTTCTCCTGGGATCCATACTGGCTTTAGTCACTTGTTTGACCAATAGAATGCAGTGGATGTGAAACCAGATCCTGAGATGATTTGTGGCTTCTACTCAGGACACTTGAAACACTCATTTCCAAAATCTACCTGCCATGCTGTGAGAAAGCTGATAGGGGAACTCCACAGGAAAGAAATGATACCTTTGCAAGCAGTCCTGACTGAGGACCCAACCAGCAGCCTGCACCAACTCGATAGCCATGTGGCAGAGAGACCTTTGAAGGGGATTCCTCCTGCCCAGAAGCCTCTTCAGGTAATGCTGTGTGGAACAAAGACATACGGTCACCCAGGAGCCCTGCCCCAAATGCACATTTCTGAGCAAAACAAATTATGTTTCTTGATTTAGGTTACTGAACTTGGTGATAGTTTGTTATACAGCAGAATATAATCAAAACATTTGGTCAAAATATTTCCAATTGCACAATGATCCCACTAAGTGATTAGAAGCTAAAGTTAAAACTTTCCCAGAGGCTTTTATTAATTCATGAGAGATTCCTCTAAAGCTAAAGAAATAAAAGATTTCAACAGCAACAACAAAACTTTCCCCGAGATGAACATGCTGTATCTAGCAGTACCGTGACAACCCAACAGCAAAGACGTGAGGGATGAAATACATTCTAACACTCCTTCCAGATAAGTTTCTGGTTGTTTTCTCCGAGTATATGTGTTGATGGACGACAAACTGAGGGAAGTGCTAGGGGTCACTGCTGTCTGTTCTTCTTGGAAGAAAGGGCAGTAGGAAGAGTGATGCCTGGGAAGAAAAACTGTTAAGTGGTCAAAGTAAAACATATCTAAGACAAATCTCTGTAGGCCAAGTAAAATCTCATTGCTGAATAATTTCCCCAGCTTGTCTGCAAGGATTACTTACAGGGAAATGTTCTATCCTAACTACCAACTCAAATGTCACAGGCATTCCTAATGAAATCAGATAAAAGAAAGCATTTTGTTTTCTACATAACTAAAATGAAGATATTTCCAGAATATAAATGAGATGAAGACACACCAAGAATGTAATTTGCAGATACTTGAAAGAATGATTTAATTGTCCTGGCAAAGTTACTCATTGCATTTTGGGGCTTGACATCATTACAGTTCTTTGTTTACTGTATTATGCTTGAAATTACATGCTAACAAAAATTATTTTAGAAACGGAAATGCTCAATAAAAAATAAACGAATATAATCTGGAGCACATTAAAAGATATCGGAAAAGAGCCTAGAGCAAACTCAAGGGTTTATCATATAAAAAAATTATTCTCAATTTAAGGCATGCTGTTGTAAGAATCAAGTCCTAAGGAACAAGGGAGCACAAAAGTGCTTTAATGGTTTTTTCTACTAATTAATAAAGAAACATCTCTAAGATAACCAATCTAGCACACAGAGCCTGAAGCCTCTTAAAGACACATGATACACAGCAGAGCAGAGGTATTTGCTATACATTTTCATACAAAGGCAGGCATCCTGTGAGCATTTGGTAAATATTAATTAGATTGCAATATATGCTTCTAATACTGACACAGACATTTTCTCATCAGTGGTATGCTTTGAGAAACTTCACAGCGTAGAGTCCTCATAGGAAATTCCTATAGCACAGAGCAGATAAGAAAGTGTATATTTATGGTATAGGGTTGTGGAAAAGAGTAACATGTCAGGTTGGCACTATTTTGAGCACTAACTAGGATTAGAATAGGAAGCTGGGAACTGTGTGATCTGGAATACACACACATACACACACACAATTTCTAATTTGAACATATGAAATATATACAGGTTCTGAGAAAATTTAAAAGCCCCAAACAGTAAAATTTAAGGTGCCACATTATATAATGTAGTCCCTAACAATTAACAAAAATATTTTCAGCTCCCATAAATACTTTCACCAACTCTATCTTTGTGTTGGTCCTACCCAAATTTCCTCTGCCAATCCTAATCTGTTCAAGATGATCACACCGTGGGCATTTCTCTGAACACATGCATCTATCTGCCTGGATTAAATTCTTAAATATGTAGGAAAGTCAGTGTGTCTTGTCAAACCTACCAAATTTACAATATAAATAAGATACAGAAGTTATCAAATTGTTCTGAGACTTTCCATCTGATTTCCTTTATCTGTACTTTGCCTGGAGGTCTCTGGCTCCTGTCTGATCTTTCTGAAGCCCTGACCATATGGTCATTTGCTAATGTGGTTGATGTAATTTACATCCTGTTCAAAAATGACAAATTTCTGAGGCTTGATGGATGTTTATTGAAAACAAAAAACAACAAAAGTTTATCACGCTATTTGCAGCCATCCAAGCAACATTTTCTAGCCATTACAAAACATAATAAAACAAAATTCCTAGATTGTCTTTGATTTTTATGTTTCTTCTGGAAAGCTAATTTAACAAATATCCTTGGTCCCTCTAATATACTAGGGACAATTCACATCAGAGAATGGGTACAGTGAACTCTGAGCTGAGAACCAGAATTAAAAGGGACCATTTATCACAAAGAACAAAATGTATGCTTACACATCAGTGTGGGAGGGTGGGGGAAAAACTTTCATCAGAAAAAAAGCAGAGTGAAAGAGAATTGAAGGGAAGTTACTGAGGTTGGAAAAACAGATATGGATAAATGTAGAAATGAAAAACATTGTCAGGAAAAGACATCTGTTTTATCACTTTGGGAAAAGTAAAGTGGGGAAAGGAACCAAACGCTTCTATGCCTCTTGGCACTTCAGCACTAGGCTAGATGCTTTAAGTAGATGATCCCATCTTATCCAGAGTCTCAAAAAACCTTGTGAAGTAGATACATTATATACCTTTTTGAAGTGAGCAAACCGAGACTTAAGTATGTGCAATAACTTGCTAGTAAGTGACAGGATCAGTGTTGGGGTTGTGCTTCTCTGCCCTCCCATGTTACCACTTCCCCTGCAAAAGAAGTGCTATGCTGGAAATGGGGCTACTGGGGATATACCTACTTCAATCTGATTGCTACAAATTGAAAACATTTTGGATGTTTTCAACTTGTCAAGATACCCACACCTTATTAATTTCTAATACATATAATTTCTAATGTAGATATTAATATAAATATAGATTACACAGATATTTCTCAGTATCTTTTTTTCCCCTACTTATGACTTAAGGTTTTTATTGTTTTATTTTTATTTTTAATTTTTTTATTATTCTGTTTTAAATGTTCACTGTGTATAAAACAGTAAACATTGTAAATCTGTGTCTGATTCAAACAGCTTATTTTAAACTGAAAAATATATCATGAAGGAAAGATATATTCCAAATATATCATTTCTACTAATATTTGTTATAAAATAAACTCAGATCAGAATTAAATCTCTTGGTAAAGTAAAACCAATATGCTATGACCAATGGGAATTACTTAAATTAAGAAGGAAATAACATTCACCAGAAATTTCTGACATTGGTTGTTACATTATCAGTGTTCCTTTTCCTCTCTTTCTACTTTAATTTTTTGGGAGGATGAGTGAGTGTCTATAGGCCTGTGTGCTTATGTATTTCTTAAGAAAAATAAATCATATTAATGAGAAATTTAGCCACAATCCCAAACCTATTTACATCTACCAGTGTATATTGAGAGTATTTTTTTTTTAAGATTTTATTTATTTATTTGACAGAGAGAGACACAGCGAGAGAGGGAACACAAGCAGGGGGAGCGGGAGAGGGAGAAGCAAGCTCCCCGCCGAGCAGAGAGCCCGATGTGGGGCTCGATCCCAGGACCCTGGGACCACGACCTGAGCCAAAGGCAGATGCTTAATGACGGAGCCACCCAGGCGCCCCTATTGAAAGTATTTTAAATACAGTGTTTAAAGTTGAGATAAAATGACAACAGTATCCCATAGAAAATTAACTGACAGAGTTTTTGTCTGAGTAAATAAAAAGAGTGAATTAATTATGATCCCTAGCTTATACTGTGGTTGATTTAGTCTCATCTTGCCAATGGCTATAGCGACACTATGCAATAGAAATATAACGCAAGCCATGTATGAAACTTTAAATTTTAGTAGCCACATTAAAAAATTTAAAAACTAGGTAAGATTAAATTAATAATATATCTTATTTTGCCCAATATTTTCAAACTATGGTATCTTCCACATAAAATAAACATAAAAAAGTTAATGAGATATTTTACATACTTTCTGTGTGTGTGTTCAAAATCTGATGGGTATTTTATACTTACAGCACATAGAATTCAAACTAGGCATATTTCAAGTGCTCAAGAGTTCATTTCAAACATGCCTCGTGACTACCATGTTGGACAATGTAAATCTAAAAGTGGAGCCTTTCAGTAAACCTGGGAATTGGGAGGCCAGTGCATCTTGATGCATCAGAAAATAGAGCATAAACTCTTCACCCATTCTTACCAATTTTATTATTCTGAGACCACACAGCCAACAAATAGCTGAGACCTGTCACTTAACACCACCAGGAATTCAAGTATTTTACTATGTCTAACTCAAATGAAAAGAATTTGGGTAGGGAAGTGAAAGAAAGAGAGAGAGATGAAAGAAAGGAAAGAAAGAAAGAAAGAAAGAAAGAAAGAAAGAAAGAAAGAAAGAAAGAAAGAAAGAAAGAAAGGAAGGAAAGAAAGAAAGAAAGAAAGAAAGGAAAGAAAGAAAGAAAGAAAGAAAGAAAGAAAGAAAGAAAGAAAGAAAGAAAGAAAGCAAGCAAGCAAGCAGGGAAGGGGGAGGAGGGAGGGAAGGAAGGAAGGAAGGAAGAGAGGGAGAAGGTTGGGGGAAGGAAGGAAGACCTAAAATACATCATTATGAGATTTTGCAGTGATACTCAAAGTATGGCTGACAGAACTCTCAGAGTCCCCAAGATCTTTTCAAGGGGTCTTCAAAGTCCAAGCGTTAATAATAATAATAGTAATAGTAATAATAAATCAGAGGAAGGAGAAGAAGAGGAAGAGGAAAAAGAAGATGAGGAGGAAGAGAAGGGGGCCAAAGGTTTTTCACTGTGTTGACACTGGGTGTGAAAGAAAGAGTGGGTAAAACCGCTGGTGCTTTAGTACAAAATAGTATTAAATCTTAACTCATGATACATATCTTTTTAATATTCTATGTGACAAAATAGAACTATATATAAACACTTCTCCTACATGTTGAAGTATGATACTTTTCTCTAGAAAAGCCCTCGTATGATTATTTGAATTATTAGCTAAGTTATTCACTATTTTCATGGAATATCACTTTTACTTGAAGTAAAAAATGGCTGAGAGACATGCTTGTCAGAATTGGGAG